GGTGTGGGAATTGTGGTCTCAGTAACCTCCAGAAGCAGATTTGAATCCTTGTCACTGGTCAAGGTACATTCCTTCTGAAATGCCATTTACACAACTGGGCAACTTGTTAATCCCTGTGCCAGCAGGAGCCTGAAAAACGTGTCCTGGGTGCTCCTGGAGGAGTGGCCACTCAGAGCCAGCACTCCACTGGGCTTAAAATAAAACTCTGCATCCTTCTGTTCCAAGTAAAAGCAGGAGACAAATGTCATGGCACCCTTTCAAAATGGGTCAGTGGTGTTACCCATTTTCTGTCTGCTGCTCAGCTGGGTGTGACTGCTCTGCGGTCACACAAGTGACCCAGGAAAGCCACCTAGAGCAGACCCTGGAAATTCTCTTTCTCAGTTCCACTTGCATTTCTCAGTGGAGCAGGAACAGGCTCAGACACTGCTTGCTTTGGTTTTTACAGATATTTCCTGGAGCACCATGGAACGCAGAGCTTGGCGCTGCTCGGGGGGCACGGGGTGCTCCCGTGGGCTCTGTGCTGCTGTGCTGTGCTTTCAGCCCGAGCTGCCTGCACGTCTGGGCCCAGCAGAGCTGCCTGGCTGCCTCAGGGTTTGCAGCAGCCCAGCCCTGGTGGTTGCTGCCCTGCTGAGAAAGCTGCTGAGCCCCTGCCCGGCCGGGGACTCGAAGGGACAGGAAGCTCCACCCGAGCTCGGGGTGCAGCTGAGCTCCCGGGTGAGAATGAGCCTCACACAGTGAGAGGATGCTCTGAGTTTACAGCCCAGTTTTTATGGTCTCTGCTTTTCCAGCTGGGTTTTCCAGTGGAATTGTTTCTGATTTACATCTGCCTCAAGGATAAAAAACGGAGCTCTTCAGCCTTGCCGTATTTCGCCAATTAATTTTTTCAAGAATGCAGATTTCCCTGGGTTGGGATAGCTCAGCAGCTTTGGGGACATGAAATCTTTTATTTCTAAAGATGCCACACCATGTGCCAGGATTCCTGCTGGGCTGGGGCCCAGATTCCCTGTTCTAAAGGAGGGGACGAGGCCAAGGGATGGATTCCCCATGGAAGCAGCACAGAAGGGCAGTGACACCTGGCTGGGAAGGGTGACCAGCTCACATAAACCTCACATAAACCACTGCCCTGCTTCACCAGATCTCTGTCTTCAACCAGGATTTGGGATTTATTGCCCAGCTCAGACCCAGTTTGGGGAGATTTTATCAGCAGAGGGTAGATGGGGATTTGCTGCATGTGCTGATTTTTGAAGGTACATTTCCAAGCTAAAATTTCACAGGTATGGAGGCCTCCTAAGTGTTTTCCATTTGTGGATGTTGTAATTCTTAACAAGGCAAATGCAGCCCAGTTTTCAGTACCACATGTTGTGGGTTTGGGGCAGAGTAGCAAAGGATGAGGAGGCAGCAAAAGCCTTTGTTCAATCCAGATGTGTGACACTGGGATACAGCAGGGGGAAAAAAGTGAATTATTCAGGAAAGGTATTTTGGTAGACACTCAGGCACCAGGAATCATACCTGTGAGCACTCCCACATCTTAAAATACAAGATTTTTTTCTGGGCTCATTTTCCATTGCATTTGTAGGAAAAAGTGTTGTTGAGGTGCCTGACCTGCAGCTGCTGGTTCTGCTCCTGGTACCGAGCTCCAGGGAAGGTTTGTCTTCCTGAGAAGGAGAGGGTCAAAAATTCTTTCCACTGGTCTCATGGTTTGTTATAGTAATATTTAATTGAAGTAGAAAATTTGATCTGACATGTCAAATGTGGCCCTGGCTGGCTGCAGGCCAAGCTGAGCTGCCTAATTTCGGTTTGCCTTAAAATGGCTGGCAAAGTTCACAGGCCCAAATTTCCCTTTGGAATGTACCTCTGAAATCTTTTTATAGTGACTGTATACATCTTTCTGTATCTATTTTTCCCTAAAATTTTCTTCAGAAACCAACAGTCCCAAAGCTTAAGTAAATGTTTCATATAAGCATTTCTGGGCCCACTTTGTATCCTGAAGTTTCTTCCATCTGTGGATTGGAGAAAATGTTTATTAACAAGTGGCTGTGTCCAGCACAAAGCAGATTGCTAAGTTGCCTGCAATGGAAATTAAAATGAATAGGAAATAAGGAAATATTTATTTCAGTCTTTTCGAGGTTTTGTTTGAGTGTTTCATAAATGGTTTATGAAGATGGCAAAAAAGCTAGATCGGATTTTCAGTATTTCTTTTGCAACTTGGTGTGTGTTTCATTATTTGGCACAGAGGAAGAAATGAAATCAAATCATCTCCATTTGAAGCAGTCCCAAGGTTTGTTGGCTGCTGTGGCTGGGCTGGAAGTGTCAGAGTGGGGTATCTTGGTGCCTGGAATCTGTCCTGGAGTGGGATGTAATGGCTGAGTCACATGGAGAGCAGATTTGGTGCTCAGTGTCTGTCTTGTTCCACTTCTGAGTCTCTTCCTGTAGTAGAAACTACTGGAATTGTTGCATTTTTACCTTGTTAAAGTGAAACCTAAATCCAGAGTTTTTTAAAGCATCTGCCAAGGGGCAATTCTGCCTTAAACATGTAATGATCCCTGCAATCCAGGTGGGACAGGGATGGAGGGACTGGAGGAGTCACACAGCAGCTCCCAAACCCCTGTGGCAGCAGCCCTGAGCCCCCTGAAGTTCTGCTCCAGCCAGGCAGCTCTGGGCTCTCAGGGGTGAGCGGGGTGGGAGATGAGTTCAGGGCAGAAAAACCTGTGGGCTCTGCTCAGCTCCTCCTTCTCTGCCCCCTTTCCATCCCTCTGGGGCAGGACAGCCCTGTTTCCCCAGTGTTCCCACCTCCTTTGCTGCTTTTTCCACTGCCCCCCATGTTTCCAGACCAGCACAGGCTCCATGGAAGTGGGGCAGCATTTCCCAGGCTTTGTGCTCAGCCCCTCCTTGGGGTCAGCCTTGACTTGAAGGCAAAAGAAGGGGGACAGTGGAGAAAGCTGGAGATGATTCCTTTAAAAATGCAAACAAGATCATCCTGTTGAAACATCTCCCCCAGCCTTTCTAGGGCTGTCCCTGCTCCCCACTTCCAGAGCTGGGGGTGCTGCTCTGGGCCCACCCTGGGGCCTGTCCCCTTCCTGCCTGGACAGAACGTTCAGGACGGATGGACGGACGGACGGGGGGAGGGAGGGACGGGCTCCATGCTGAGTCTTGCCACCTGTTGCCTTTTCCATTCCAAGCCCCCCTTCCTCCCCACCCTGCAGGCTGAGCTCCCCTCCCCACACAGCTCCCCATCCCCACGGACGGGGCTGGGATCAGGAGTCACTTGCCAAATGCCTTTCTCATGCTGTCACTAATTCTGCACAGGCAGCATCTCCGAGAGCAAAAACAAATCTTTTCCAGTGCATTGGCCCGTGTTTTCTAGAGAAGGGCTCAGGAATGCCCTTTCCTAGTTGGGTCTGAGGGGAGGGCCTGTGCCATGGCTGGCCAGGAGGCAGCCCTGGGGAAGCCTGAAGCTGTGCCCAGAGAATCTGCTGCAAATCCCATGGAGCTGGAATTTGGCACTGGCACGGGCTAATTTTGTCCTGGGGGTTGCTTGCACACACAAACACACACACACACCTCTCCCATGTCATCCTCCATGGAAAGCTGCCCCGAGCTCCCCAGTGCCAGGGAATGCTGTGCTGAGCCCTCCAGGCTTGGCTTGGTGACGTTGCTGGGCACTCTGGGCTGGGAGGGCAGCGAGGGGGTGCTCAGATGGGCTGGAGAATCTGGGAGAATCCTGGAGAATCCTGGAGAATCATCTGCCCTGCTCCCACAGGAGCAGCAGGCTCTGCATGGACCGAGGCTGTGGTTTCCTCCTCATCAGGGCACTGAGGGGGTGCAGGTAGAGAGCTCTTGGGTAGAGAGGCCTGAGAAGGGCATTTGGACAATTCTGCAGGTGCTTTTCAGGTAAATCCTGTAAATCACAGTGCTCAGCGTTCAGTATCAGCTGGAGAAGGAGCCTCTGATTCCCAGCTGAAGGTGCCTGGAGGGGGCTGATTTTCAGAACACAGGACATTGGCATGAGGTCCTTTCTGTCACTGGCAGGGACACCTGGGCTGGAGCATTCCAGGCTCCCAGGATATTGTCACCCCAGGTACTCCAGACACACCTGGATCAACACTTGTTTGCCCACAAAAATCACAGTGAAGTGAAAGGATGAAATGAATGCAAATATGAGCAATTATTAATTAGTGCAGTGTGGTTCTGCCACCCTTCTGGGAGCCAGGCTGAGTGGGGATGGGGAAAGGTGGAGAACTGCAAAAAGACACAAAAAGGAATAAGAAACAGGGGTGGGATGTTTCTTTTACTGTTTCTGGTCATGATGCAGCACAAGGTCCAGAACCTTGTCCCTCCCTGCTGTGAGAGGTGTTTGTACTGGCAGATCTTCAAGCTGGTATCCCCAGTGCACCAGTTAAACCAGTAGTTACCAATTTTTTTGCAAGCCACGCTGGGACTATAGGAATTTTATTCCCTCACAGTGTTGAAGGAAAGGGATTTTGCTTGCCAAAGGGCTTTCTTATGCTTGAGGATGATTTATGGGCCAAGCTGAGCCACTTGTGGAAAAGGCAAAGCAGCTCTTGGCAGCACCCCCAGAATCCACTGCAGCTGTGGGGTAGTGAAGTCATCGGCATAACAACCACTGCAAACAGAATAACAAAGTCTGTTCTGTTCTCGTTTAAAATAATCTTTCCAGTTCAGCAACCACATTAAACTTACCTTTCTGCATGCAAAAATCATAAAAGGCTGATAGTTGTCTTCAGCTTGGAGCGGGTGTCTCCCTTTGATCAGTGCCCATCTCTCCTGTGCCATACGCACTTGACCCGAGTGTCTCCCATGAAGGAGTGAAGTGTGTTATGTCACAGTCTGTGTCTGCCCCTTACATTTGAAAAAAAAGAAGAAAACACCCAGAGTTTCTTCCTTCTAAATAACAAAATTTGCTTTTGGTTTATAATTTGTTTCTAAGCTGACTGCAAAATGAGGAATCTGACTTTGATTTTTTCCTGCCTTTGTTTCAGGTCTCTTCAGATCCTCCTGCTTCCAAAAAGCCCAAAATAGATGACTCTGCTTCCCAATCTCCAGCTTCTACTGAGAAGGAAAAACAGTCCAGTTGGTTACGGTCCTTATCCAGTTCATCTAATAAGGTGATTGTTGAATATTTTGTAATCAAGAGAGATCAAATTGGCACAAAGCATCACTCTACTGAGACCAGAGGAGAAAATGAGGGAAAGAACATGCCCAGGGTTTCTAAATTAGTAACATTTCTATCCTTTTCCCAGTCAGCATTGAGCTACACAGTCCCCCCAGATTCCTTGTCACCCTCCAGTGCTCCTTGACCTGGATTGTGACAGGGAAGTAGGGAATTCCCTTGTGCCTTTGAGGTACAGCAATCATGCAAGGCTCAGGATTTGTTTGTAGCACTTTGTGTGAGTTTGTAGCTCTTTGTGATCCCTACAAACTACACAGAGCTCAAGTGACAAGCTACAAGTGACCAGGTGTTTGTTGCCCAGCAAAACCCACGAGTGCCCTTCCCCTGTGCCAGTGGAACCCCTGAGCAAGGCGGTCATGGCCAGTGGGGGTGACTGAGGGTGCCCTGGGAAGCCCCAGGTCCCCTCTGGGGGGGATTGATGGTTTCAGAGGCTGCTGGGGTCACTCCTGTCCTGCCCTGTCCCCAGAGCATCGGCTGCGTCCACCCCCGGCAGCGCCTCTCCGCCTTCCGGCCCTGGTCCCCCGCGGTGTCTGCCAGCGAGAAGGAGCTCTCCAGCCACCTGCCCGCCCTGATCCGGGACAGGTAAGGACACAGGCACGGGCACAGGGGCTGGCAGCTGCCTCTGGGCCTGTCCCCGTGCTCAGTCAGAGCGTTTGCAGCCGCAGGGTTTCGTTTGCAGAAAGGAAACATGAAAGGTGTTGCTGGTTGGTGCCTGAAGGGGTTAAAGGTGACACTGCCATAGAAGTGTCAGGTGAGGCTGCTGGGAAGGTCACTTGGGGTGCAGTCATTGAGGGGCTTGGCAAGGTGGAGTCCCTGTCCTGGGGCAGGGGGATGCAGCCTTTGCCAGGCACTGTCCGTGGTACCAGCTCCCTGTTCCAGCCCAGCTCCATCCTCTGCCATCCCCACCGTGCCTTGGAGGCTGAAGGGCAGCAGAGACTTCCCCAAACCCTCTGTGTGCCCTGTGTGACTCCTCAGCCTGTCAGACCTGTCCAGACACCGAGGCCACGCTCTGCTTTTGGAGAGGAGCAGCCCTGAGTGAGTCACCCACAGCAGGTGGGACCTTGGTGGCACACTGAGAGCAGAAAGTGTCAGGGCAGTTCAACATCCTGTGCCAGACTGGAGCTGTGCACTCTGAAAAACCTCCAAGCCAGATTCCTGCCTGAGGGTGATCATTTCTGTGGAAAGTTTGACTTAAGTGACCAGGTGCTTTTAGGGAATATTGTGGAGCACATACTGTGCTGCCCTTATGAACAAGTTTCCTAGAAGCTGTGGGGATTGATTTAAATAAAAGGAAAATAGAAGGGAAAAACCCTATCAGCCTTTCCTAAATTTTAAACTAGGTACAGAAAGAAGTGCTGTAAGTGTCCTTGGTATCCCTGTGGGAAACTTGGCTGATTTCAGTATTAGATAAAACCCACCTACAACAGCTCCAGGAGAAATTTTACCTGATACCACATCATGTAGTAGGTGCTAAATTGAAGTTGCAAAGTTTTTGCTCTACTTTTTGTAAAATTCCATGTATTTGATGTTGTGTTAATACTCCCCTTTAACACCAAGGTTTAACCAAAGGTTTGTTGGTTGTTGTACCTGTGGTTTTACACATGGACACTCAGGTGTGTGTCAGGATCCCAGAGGCACAAGAAGATGCTTTTCCACTCCATGGTTTGAGTTTTCAGAACATTTTTGGATAGATGAAAGTCCAGCGGTGCAGTTGGTTAAAACATCAGTGCCATGAAGAGCAGAGGAAACAGCTTTAGGACTTTTAGGCCCTGGGAGGTCTCATCTCCTTGGTGCTCTTAGGATATGTGGCACTTGGGATGGGATCCCTGGGTTTAGTGAGGGCAAAACACAAAACCATGGGCAGGTTCTCAGCTGGTGCCAGACAGTGGGATTCACTGCCACTCCCGTGGGTGTTTGCAGTGTAACTCTGGCCTGGAAAGCTCTCCAAAGGCAGCAATGTGACCATTTTCCCTTCCTTCTGCCTCCCTCTGCTGCAGCTTTTACTCCTACAAGAGCTTTGAGAGCGCCGTGGCCCCCAACGTGGCCCTGGCCCCTCCCGCCCAGCAGAAGATGGTGAGCAACCCCCCCTGTGCCACGGTGGTGTCCAGGAGCAGCGAGGCCCTGGGCTCTGGGCAGCCCAGGAAGAGGAAACACGGCCCAGAGCACACGGCTGTCCCCGAGGCCGCCGCCACCGCCGCCACCGCCGCCCCCGAGGAGGACAAGGAGTCAGAAGCAGAGATTGAAGTAGAAACCAGGGAAGAATGTAAGTGACACTTGTGGCTGGCTGGGTTTTTTTTTGCAGGGGTTCCTGTGAAGTTTAAACAGAATTCTGGAAGCGCAGTGCCTCAGCGTTGCCTTTGTGACAGGAGTTGCACAGTCACAGTGTGAACAAATTGAACTCAGTCCCTTAAGTCAAGGTTGCATTTTCATCATTTTTCAAGTATCAAAGTATGAAATGAGTAGGTTTTTAATTTCCTTTCCTATTTAAAATTGATTATCAAGTGTCTCTGTACAAAAGGGCCTCAGCACATTTTGAGCTGTATAATACATATATGAGTTGTATATAATTATGTCTTAATTATTGACATTTTAAAATTAATTTTCAATGTTTCTTTTTTCCAGTCACCTCCTCCTTATCCTCGCTCTCCTCCCCATCCTTCACCTCCTCCAGCTCTGCCAAGGACATGAGCTCCCCTGGGATGCAGCCCCCAGCCCCTGTCAACAGCTCCTACGAGGTGGCTGCACACCCTGACCCCCACAGCAGCGGGCTGGAGGCTGAGCTGGAGCACCTCAGGCAGGCCCTGGACAGTGGCCTGGACACAAAAGAAGCCAAAGAGAAGTTCCTGCACGAGGTGGTGAAGATGAGGGTGAAGCAGGAGGAGAAGCTGAACGCGGCCCTGCAGGCCAAGCGCAGCCTGCACCAGGTGAGGCTGCCCTGCCCTGCCCTGCCCTGCCAGGTACAGCCCAGCAGGGAGCTCTGCAGAAGGAATTGCCTCATTTTTCCCAAATAGCAACAGCCTTTGCTGGGGCTCTGTTTGTAAATCCAGCCGGGAAACCAAAGCACAGGAACCAGTCCTATGTTTTTAAGCTTGCCACCTGTTTTTCCTTGGGTTATAAATCCATGGTTACCAAAATCAACATCTTTTCATTACTGCAAAAATCTTCTAGTCCAGCAGAGTTTATTTTGTTTTCATTTCACTGAACAGGAAACATTTCTGGAGGCTTTAGCTGGAGTTTTAAAGGCTCTGTGAGGGAGGGTGTTCCTGGGACACAGCCACAGCTGAAGTCAGGGCTTTGTCAGGCATCCCACTGGCCACACTGCCGAGCTTCAGGCAGGGAAGCTGCTCCTTATTTCTGCAGTTCCTGGATCCATCAGAGGTCAGGCAGGGCTGCAGGTCAGGGCTGAGCTCAGTGATGGGGGAACTGCCTTTTATTTGAGCTGGGGTAAAAATTAGAGTGCAGAGAAATAGAAAAGGGACCCAGTGTAGAAGATTTGTGTGTCCTCTGAACATCTGGTGTGGAGTTGTACCCAGGCTGGGGCTGGAATCCATGGGATGGAGCAATAAGGGCCTGGTTTGATTGAGTGTGGGAGACACAAAACCAGCAGCGATGCTCTCTTTTTTAGTTACTCTGAGCAAATTGCTAAATTCCTTTGTGTTCCAGTTAATCTGTGTTTTATTTTATGTATTTAAAAGTAAACATTTATGCATAACGTGTGTGTGTGTGTGTGTGTGAGTGTGTATTTCCAGAGGTTGTGTGTGTATTTCCAGGGGTTGTGGGTACTTCCAGGGGCTCTGTGTGTGTTTCCAGAGGCTGTGGGTACTTCCAGGGGCTGTGTGTGTGTTTCTAGAGGCATGGCCAAGCTAACTTCCAGCCTGGCTGGGAAGTGAGATTGTCAAAAGAGTGAATTTCCCATGACCCTGCAGTGCTACTTCACAGCAACCAGGGCTGGAGGGTTTGACTCGGACAGGGAGGAAATGCTGCTTCTGGGGGAAAAAATAGATCTTTAGTTTCTAATTTAACCATTTAGGAAACGTGAGCCACATCTCTGTGCTTGCTGTCAACATGTATTTTAATAGCTTAGGGGTTTCTGCCTTTGTACCTTGAAGGTTCCTTATCATTATCACTTCAATTAATGGTTCCCTCATGGATTTGAGATTCCAAGGCAGCAGCTCCCAGCCTGGACAGGGGGAGTGGCAGTTCCCAGAGCAAAATGTGGTTTCAGGTTTTTGCCTAGAGTTTTACAGCTCTTGTGACAGAGCAGTCCATGAACTGGTTGTCAGGAGTCTTGGGGCTCACCCCAGTCACCTACAGCACCCCAAAGCTAGGAAAGACACAGTTTGTGTTCTGTCCTTGCCATGAGTAGATTTTTGAGGGGAGCTTGATAAAGTGGAGCTGATTTCTGACATCCTGTGGAGCTTTGCTGTACACAAAGGACACTCAGAACTGCACTTTCCACGTTGTGCATCTTCAGAGCCTTCAGCTCCAGCCCAGGCACTGCAGTCGGGTGGTTTGGAACGTGGAGCTGGTGCTGGAGCTCTCTCCAACTGCAGTTCATCTTTATTCAGGCCCAGATGGTCGCAGCTATTCTGCTTGACAAAGCAAAACGGGGCTGTAGCGCTGAGCTTTTTGTTATCCTGGGCTCCAGGGTAGCTGGAGTGCAGGAACTCCACAGGATTTAAAGGAGAAGGGCTCGTGCAAAGTTCAGAGTGGGGTTTGGCCATGGTCACAACCGGCAGGAGGTGGGAACGTGGTTTGGATGGCTTCCCTTGCAGCTCTGCCTCCTTGCACTCACTCTTACCTGCTTCTGCGTCCAGGAGCTGGAGTTCCTGAGAGTGGCCAAGAAGGAGAAGCTGAGGGAAGCCACGGAGGCCAAGCGCAACCTGCGGAAGGAGATCGAGCGCCTGCGAGCCGAGAACGAGAAGAAGATGAAGGAGGCCAACGAGTCGCGCGTGCGGCTGAAGCGGGAGCTGGAGCAGGCGCGGCAGATCCGCGTGTGCGACAAGGGCTGCGAGGCCGGCCGGCTCCGCGCCAAGTACTCGGCTCAGGTGAGGCCCAGCAGGGGCTGCAGCAGCTCCTGGGCTCCCGGCCCTGCTCCCGAGCTGGGAGAGGCATCAGCAGAGGGCAGGGCCAGCCAGGAGGCCAAAAAACGGGGTCTGACTTTAAACTCATTCCATGCCCCTGCCACAGAGCCTCCCCTGCTAAAGGGAGCCCTCAAAAGCTGCTGTTCCACATACTTTAATTTATATGTACTTCAAATAATTTACATAGTTTAACACAGCCCTGAAAAGCTCGTGGCAGAGGAGTTGCAGGAGTGCTGGAGCAGCCTGCTGTGGGACACAGGTGCTCCTGGAGGTGGGAGCTGCAGTCCCTGGCGTGGTGGCTTTAAGGGAGGAGGGGAAGAGCAGAAGCAAAGCTCACAATCTCCAGGGCTCTGATAAGGGGAAGGGGAGTGGCTGCTGCTCCCGCTGAGACACGTCTGGCCAGGAGCAGGAAATGATGTGGGGCTTCCTCTCAGCATCACAGGATGTCTCACTGATAAGGGGTGGCCAGACTAAACAGAGCCTCCCTGGGGCTGCTGGCTGGGCGTTCCCCCAGGGCCCTGGGGAGCAGCCTGGGCTGGGCTTGGGGCTCAGGTGTGTCCTGGGGGTGACTCTGTGACACTGGGCATTTTCAGACTCTTAATGCATTCCCTCCTTTAAGCTTAAAGGCTAAAAATCACCTCAAAAAGAACTCTAGTAGCCAGCTATTCCTCTTTCCTGAGGCCAGGCCTGGCAGGTTGGCAGTGTCCCCTGCAGCAGCCCCCCTGTCACAGCCACCCCTGAGCCCCTCAGAGCTGTCCTGGGGCAAAGGGCACATGGCAGCTCCTGTTTCCTGGCTGGCACAGCTGGTAACAGAACTGCTGTGAGTTACTCACTCCCAGGGCTGAACCTTATAAGATGTCATTATAACTGAAGTTCTTAAGTCTTGAGAAAATTTAAAGTAAAGCTGGATACACCCTTGTAGCTACAGCTGGGGGTGCAAGAGGAAGTTGGTCACATACTATTTTTGAGGAAACCGCAGTTCTCTAGACAGGCTCAGTCTGACAGAAACAGCATCAGCCAGGGTGGGAGAAGACAAAAGTGTCAGGGTGGAAATGCCTCTGTGTAGGCTTAAAGTATTAGATGCTTAATGCCCATTGAGGAGTTGTGGTTTATGCCTCCCTTTTTCTTACCTTGATACTGAAATCCAGACATGGATGGGGGAGGTTTACCTGCATTTTAGCCCAAAACATTGGAGGTTTCCCTTCCCTGTTAAATGGCAATCTTTGCTGACTGCTGACATTTCCTTTCTCGCTGGGCGCTGTTTCTGGTATTTGCACCTTCCTGTCCTGGGGGTTTTCTCTGCCTTTTCTGTCAGAAAGTACCAAACAGGGAGGTCAGGGAGGCCAAGGGCTGCAGGTCCTGCTGGGAGCAGAGTGGGGACACTGCAGGCCTTTCATCCATAGCTGGGAAGGCCTGGCCCACCAGCAGCCAAGGCCCTTTCTGGTCACTTCCATTAACAATCAGTGTAAGAGCTGAAAGTGAATCCCCTGTGCCAGCACCTGGGCTTTGCTTTGCTGAGCTGCTGTCACTACCTAAAAATGCTTGAAGAAGTGACCAGATTCTGTGGCACTAAGGAATTCTTGAACTGTTTCTTAACTCTTCTGGTTTTCACCTCACTTTCTGGAGCTGGAGTCACTGGGAATGTTTGGGTTTCAAAGCTGAGCAGTAGTGTATAGAAAAAAGGAACTGGGAATCCCCTCCTCAATCTTGATAGTCCTGTGCCTGGAGTACACACTGTCTTGCTCCCCTGGCCCTGTGCAAGGTCTGTGGGGGCACAGGCTGTGCCCCAGCCCTGTCCCACAGCCCTGTGTCCTGTCCCTGCAGATCGAGGACCTGCAGGTGAAGCTGCAGCACGCTGAGGCCGACCGCGAGCAGCTGCGCGCCGACCTCCTGCACGAGAGGGAGGCCCGGGAGCACCTGGAGAAGGTGGTCAAGGAACTTCAGGAACAACTGTGGCCTAAAGCCAGCAGCCAGCCCAGCAGTGAGAGCACCTCGAGCCCCATGGAGAACTGACCCCTCATCCCCCCGCACAGGGAGGGAGACAGTGGGACTGGGAGTGCACGTGTGAGTAGTGGTGTCCTGGCACACACTTTAGGAATATGGATTCTCAGTAGTTGGAAGGCAAATGTTGTTACTCTCTAGAACAGAAGCACTGAATTCCGCCTCTTTTTTTTCCCAATCCATATAGCACAACATCTTACTGTGCCTAGAAAACACAAAGTGTTTGTAAACAAAATACTTTTAAGTCCACAGCAAATTTTCTACTGGCAAACTCTAAGCAAAGCAGTGTGGTCCAGCTGAACCCGGAGTCCAAGGTGAGCACGGCAGTGGCTTTGTGCTCTCCTGCCTGTTGGAACATTTTGGAATTTAAAAACAAACTGACTTTTCTTATAAGCTATTTAAAATAATTCATTACACAGACTTGGTATTAAAAAAAAAAAATTAACAAGATTTTTATAATGAACCTTTAAATGCAAAACAAAAAAAAAAAAGACAAAAAAATAAAAAACCTTCGATGCACAATTTTTAATGACTTTATAGGCTTTGGGATTCTTTGTGCAGAAGCCCCTCTTGGTGATGATGCCATCCATGTCAGGAGCAGTTTTCCAGCCATCTCAGAAGCCATCGCGGTTCCATCCCGTCACGTGGGTGTAGGAGAAGTTCAGAGTGCTTTTCCAAGTTGATTTTTTTTCCTTAGAATGAATTATGTCCATTTCCTGCCCTGGACACAGGAAGAAGGGAAGCTGCAGGAGTGTGCAGGGGGTGAGGGGAGCAGGAGGGGCTGGGTTGAGAGCCCCAGCCCAGCCCCACAGACCCCCCTGTGTTCAGAGACTTCACCCAGGAGCACGCCAGCCTTGGGAAAAGAGAGAGAGAAAGGAAGAAAGGAAGGAAATGGATGATCAGTTGGTAGAGGAACAAAGCAGAGACATCTGTGTGTTGAAGTCATTCTGAAATCTTCAGCTTTCAGTTTTCTGGAAAACTCATCTTGTTGCACCATCTTACCATGAATTCAGTATTTCCCTGCTTCCATTCCGAACTGTCAGTCAGGATTTCTGTGCCCAAGGAGAGTCCAACGTTGCAGTGTCGGATACTACAGAACAGAAAACCAACATTTTTGCTGCTGTGAATAAGCCTACATCTTTTTTTAAAAAACTTTTTTCTTTTTAAAAAGAGAATTACTTTAATTTTGGGATCCAAGCCGCAGCCCCGGGATACAATGCAGCAAACCATCACTGCCTTGGGGGTGGTGCTGAGGTTTTTTTTATATATATTTTTTTTTTAAACCTGCACTTTGTCAGAATCTTACTCTGCATTTTATTCCCTGTTTCTAAGATGTACATGTCAAGCATTTGAGATTCTGCCCTAAGAGCTGTGCAAACCATGAACCCAAATGTGCCACCTCTGCCACCTCCCATCAGCATCCGTGTAAGCAAAGGAGGATCCAGCAGGTCCAGAATCCCTGAGCAGGAATTCCCCCTGTGCTGCTGGTTCAGTTAGAACCTGCTTTTGTGGCTGTGTATGACCCAAGCTGGGGAGCAGCAGAGATGCTCCCAAAAGTGCTTAACAAATAAAGCTGGTGCTTTACTGATCAGGAGAAAATTAATTTTCACCCATAAACACTCACCTCTGACACGCTCAAGCAAGTGAAAATGTGATCTGGGGCTGCAGATGTGCCTTCCAGCTCATTTTTCCTCTCAGCATCTTTTCTAGGCAATGCTGACACTTTTTTTTTTTACCTTAAATAATAATAATAATTTTTAAAAAAAGGAAAAAAAAGAGAACCCCCTATGCATCATCATACCCAGAGTTATTCTAAAAGAAGAAACATATTTCCAGTAATCTTTATTTGCTTTTGGACATTAATGCAAACTATGTAAGCTTCAAAATTATTTCCCAGTAGACAGAAAGCGGCTTCCAATCCTAAAATTATGGTATTTACTTACAGTACATTAGAGATATTTTTTTTTTTGAACAAGAGCTGTTTGCTTGAAACCATTATAGTAACCATTATAGTAACTGTGAGCATTAACAAAGAAGTTCATATATATGTTTTAGGTACAAAAAAGAAGAAATCTGAAAGGAGTGGAATTACTGGGACAATGTAAAACTGTTGGGAGCAAGAAGTCACACCAAGTCAATGACCTGAACCTGTCTGTGGATACAGGGGTTGGCCCTTGTGTGTTTGGGATACTGGAGACTGGCTCTAGGTGCAGATCTCCTTCTAAAGTGCAATGCAAAAGGAATTTTGATTATGCTTGAGCAGGTTTTGTTTTTGTTTTTTTTTTAATGTGGGGTTTTATTTTCTTTGTATGTTTTTTTCTGCGATTATTAAATCATATGCATGGATTAAACTCTGCCATATAGTCATTAATGGGCATTATTACTGTCTTATGTAAAGGGGTTCTTTTGTTATGCAGTATGCAGAAAAATGTTCTCAGCCTTATGATTTCCAGATCTGTATTATCCACTTATTTCTTCAAGGGAAACTAAACAACTGTAGCTGTAGCTGATCATTTTTGTGCATTTCAAGTCTCTTGTGCTCTGCTTTACTGCCGTGTTGGGAACCACACAGAGAACAGACCCCGCTCCTGTGGCAGCTCATGGAAGCCTGGCTTTGGAAATTTTGCTTGTTTGGGTTTTCCCCCCTGATCTATGATGGTTTCTCTCCCTTTATAACCCCCAAAAAATAGCAACATGTCCTGGACATGTTGTCACCCAGGAAAAGCCATTCACCTGAGCACACCCTGAGTTTTCCTGTTTGTGTCCAGGGAAATGCACTCACTCACTGGGCATGAGGCTCCCACACTTCTGAAGGAAGGAAATCTGCAGGATTTTCAAAGGAAAAAAGCAGAACAGTAAATTGGTGAGCACCAAGCAGCCTCACCTGTGCTGCACAGGTGAAGGGTCCCAGGGCTGCACAGAGTCTCCAGACCAGAATTGCAGCTGGGGCTTCCTCTCTGCCCCACTCAGGCACTCCATGCAGGGCCAAACCTGCAGGTGAGCTCACCCCAAGACTCCCCAGGATTTGCTCCTTGGGAGTGAAAGGCCATTTCTATCAATCAGTTTAAAAGCATGAAGAGAAATAATGGTGCAAGAAGAGAAGGAACAAAGATTCTCCAGCAGCAGCCACTGCCCAGGAGGGGCTGGCAGGGCTAGGCCTGGCTTAAAGCACTGGGCTTTTCCTACCCCTGTTTAACAATCAGAGCTCACTCTGCAGAGCAGGTGAGCTGTTTCTGCAGATTGATTGATTGGTTGATTGATTTCTCACCCAGAGTCATCAGCAATGTCCCTGTCCCAGCCCCAGGGGGGCTCTGCAGAGCAGCCCCCCCTGTGCAGGTGCTCGAGGCCAGGAGCTCTGGGGTCATTCCTGTGGCTGCAACACCTCAGTAAAGCTGTGTGAGCCTGGGCCATGGAATCCCTTCCTTCCTTCCTTCCTTCCTTCCTGCAGCCCCCACTCCCTGCGCCATTCCCAGGGAGAGGGGCTGCCCTCCATCCCCCCATCTGTGCTTTAGTTTCCTTTAAGAAGTTCCAAGGGAGAAGAGGTGTTTCATACAGGCTGTTGACTCTCCCTGTACTACAAATATATTACTACTTGTATATTCAGTTTAATTACTCCTTGTTTCTATTACTGAACGAAGACTTAACGAAGGGAAAAAAAAAACCAACAGCAATAACATTCATATCTATGGAGCAGCTAACTCTATACATAATATTCTGCTTTTCAAACAGAACTAGCCAATGTAAAAAAAACATTAAAAGTAAATTCAACATGTAAATACTTTTTTTCATTTTACACTGTTGTATTATAAGTGTATATGGTGTTTACTTTTTCAAAACTCTTTCTTACCTGGTAGTTGTCTTGTTTTATGAGTTGTGTTTTTAACTGAGAAGAACCTTTGCTGTCTGTTAGGAAAAAAACAAAACAAAATCTTTTTGCAAGTTTTCAATGTGGGTTATAACCTTTTCTCCATCATTTGCATTTTATTTGTCCTTATTTTCACTGTAAAGTATTTTATTACCAAAAGGTTGGTTTTTGTTCCATTCTGCCCTCTCAGCAGTCCATGTGTTTTAGAGAGAAGTTTTTTGTTGGCTTGGTTGTTGTTTTGTTTTTTTTGGTTTTGTTTTGTTTTTGGTTTTTTTTTTAATTGAAAGAACTCACAGAAATGACATTTTTTCAATTGAAGAAAAATAAATCTTTACATTTATAATAGCCAATAGCATTTCAGCACATTTTTGTTATCCTGGTCTCTCCTATGCTGCTGCTAATGACAATATTATGACTTACTCTACTATTCTAGAACTATTTTTATGTAAGTAATGTATGCTTTCTTGTTTATAAATGCCTGATTTAAAAAAAAAATAAGAAAAAAGCTTGGCATATTTATCTATTTCGCTGTGTACCTTGATAGTCCTTTTCCACCCCCTTTTCCACGTCCCCTGCCCCTGATGCAGATAATATTGTAAAATAAAGGACTTTATGAGATTATGTATGAAAATAGCTATGCTTATATACCACAGTGACTGAATGTACAGTGTATAGACGCATTACCGAAAATAAAATTGTTTGTCCAGAAAAAAATAAAGAGCTCTGGGATGTTTTTGGAGTTCTCTGTGCTTTGCTGAGGTGCTGCTCCCCGTTTCATGGTGATCCCACAGCACCTGGTCCCTGATTTCCTGGGGGCCCAGGAGAAGGATCCTCCCCAGGCCATCATTTAACACAAAAACCTCTGCACTGCTGGAAGGAGACTGGAATTTAACTGGGATCACAGCATTCCACTGCGTGGGGAAAATCTAACACTGCAGAGAAATTTCTTTGGAATAGTGAGAATTGTAAGCATAGAGAAGTTTGTTCTAGGTCAAAGAAAAAGAAACACAAGAGGGGAAAATGCAAAAAGCAGGAGATGGAAACATATGTCAGAATAATTCTCTCATGGTTTTCTGAGAAGTGGCTGCAGAATTTCCACAGCTCTGGGACATTTCTGAAATGCCTTTGTAAAGCAGTGGAAAAGCTGGAGAATGAGCAAAGAGCTTAAAAAAATAAATCTCTTCTTATTTGAGACTCACCCAGCTTTCCAAGGGGTGGGTTTGTGTCCTGAATGCAGCTCCAGTCCTTGGGGAGGGACCCTGTGCCCCATTTCCCATCCACATCCCTGTCCTTCCACCTGCACAGCCTTACTGTGACTCGGGGTCCTGAAATTAAAAGTTCAAGTAACATTCCTCCTGCTGCTCCTTCTCAGAGACATTTGTCAGGGTATTCCTGTTCCAAACTAAATAGCAAACTAGATTTGGCTTGATAAGGCTTGGTACCAGAGGCTGAAAAAATTATATATTCTGTCTCCAAGGACTTCTGAGTGCAACAACACAGACTGGTAAAGCCCAGTCAAGCTGTCTCGCGTTTCTGGGTAAGGGGTAACTAACTGGGTTTGAAAATTCTGCTTCTGCTGACAAAATAACTTTAGTTTACTGGGAATGAGACCTGAACCTGCTCAATAACCAAGTGAGCTGAACTGACCCAAACTCAAAGTAGCTAAAATAAATAGAAATAAAAATAAAAATCCAATTTCCTGGGGCCTGGAGTAAAAACTTCATGATTTACTCAAGAGTGTTACCCATCCATCAGAAAACACCATTAAAAACCCAAACATGGGGTGTACGTGGCAAATCCAAACCTTTGGTGGAGCACAGCTGAAAGAAACAGCCACAAAATCCCACAAATGGGGTCAAACAGAGCACATCAGTGCTTCCCAATGTCCTGTGAGCAGCCCCTGAGCCCAGCCTGGAGATGGAGCACAGGGAAGATGAACAAGGAGAGGCCTGGGGGATTTTGGGGAGAAAGGAGGAGATTCCTTGTTACTGCTCAAGGCATCCAAACCAGACCTTTTAGGTGCTCCCACCTTCAATTGCTGAAAAAACAATAAAGAAACACATCCTGCAAGGAAGGGATCCGAGGTGTGGAAAATCTGGGAAGCAGCAGAAGGCCAGGAATGGCAGAGTTAATGGAGATCTGAGCTCCAAGGCACTGTCAGGAGGAAGAGCACAGCTCTAATAAAACCCAGCTGTGTGACGTACACGCCACTGGAATTTTTATGAGATGGCTTATGTGCACTTTAAGTATTACCTGACTGCAATGCAAATTCCCACACACTTTTATTTGGGAGGGAAAAAAGTTTCCACAGCTCTCTGGGCTGGACTGGTTGAGCCCAGTTGTTCTGCACAGCATCTGTGGGGTTTCTGGCTCATCGTTTTGGATTTACCTTGGTGTTTGAGCTGTTGAGTCAGCTCCTCAACCTGGAACCTTGAGAATTTCACCCTTATGAAACTGCCCCAGAGCCACCCTGGCCCAGCCATCCCAGTCTCTGGCCCTTCCACCACTGCTCTTCCACCTCCCATACCTATGCAGTTGAGGAAGATTCCAAGGAACAAGAGGACACCTCTTTTCAGAAGAAAATGGGGTTTCACTGCTTCAAAGGTCAGATTTGCTCCAAAATCTCATTTCTGTAAACACCATAAGGACCATAAGGACCGTAAACTTGAGTGACCATGATCTTGGGAAGGAAGTTTACAAAGAGCCCTTTATAAACCCTTTTTATAAACCAGTGTTTTGGGTTGCTCCATGTGCTCAGCTCCAGCCGTGGAACAAGAAATTCCTTTATTGTCTGGTTCTCAGAAAAGGTCATTAAACCCTTCCCTTTATGTGGCCAAGGATCAAACAGGTGCATGAACAGAGCTCTCGGCCCCACAGCCCACGAGTGAAACCACTTCAGGCCCACAGATGGATTCCCTGGGCAGCATCCCCAGTGGCAGTGCCCTGCTGTGCCCTCCCTGCAGCCACGCTCCTGCTGCTCACAGGAAGTACCAGCAAACACCTCCCTGGCAGTGCCAACTGCAGGCCCAGCAGGGCAGAGTGTCCCTTCCAGGCTGCTCAGCATTCCTCAAGCCAGATCCTGGATTTCCAGCACTGCTTTGCAAAGTGACCAGTCACACACAGTCGAATTTCCTTCAGTTACCTTTCCAACCCACAAGGTGAGTGGAGCACAGAGGAAGGCACCAAACCTTCCACGTTCCATTTCCTGGCATGTTAAACTCCCCCACAAACCCTCTGCCCCAAATTCCAGCCCCTGTGCCTGGCAGCAGCTCCCAGCTCAGGATTACACTGCAGTGCCAAGGGATTCAACACACGCAGCATTTTTCAGCAGCAGAGGTTTCCTAGTCCTGGCTCTGCAGCCTGCAATTACTGCATCTTTGCTGATGTCAGCCCTGCTGCTTTCCCTACAAAGCTCTGCATGGAAAATCTGGGATGGGACTTTGGCTACAGCAAAAACAGAGCACAGGATGGGATTGTACACGAGGCTCCCAGCTGGACCTGCTGCTGTGGGCTTGGAGATTGTGCACGGGAAGTTCTGAACTCCTTGTGCCCACCCAAGCCCCCTGGGGTCAGTGGATGCCCGGGAAGTTGCCAGGGAGCAGCAGCCCAGGGCAGCTGCCACCATCCCTGCCCAGCTCTGAGCACAGCACACACAGCTCCCGTGCAGGGATCCCGTGCTGCTTAATTCAATTTGGCAGATAACACTGGGGAAAGGCATTGATTTCCTCCCCTCGCTCCCTCCTTCCCTTCCATCAATTTTCCCAGATAAGCAGCCTGTGGCTCAGGTCCTGCTGGTGACGGATGCCTTGTAATTGCTCTGAATGGATTATCCCCAGACATGGAGCAGGCATTTACAGTGCACAGCTGTAATCAGAAACACTCGCACCCAGGAGAGGGGCTCTGAGGAGCAGACAGCTGCCTCTGGCCTCTGCCTTGTCTCTCTGCTCTTATATTAAGCCTAACTTTATGTATTTGTGTTTTTAATACAGTAATATCCAGGACATCCACTGAAATCAGGGTCCAGATGGGCTCAGTGTCATCCCGACCCTCAGAACTGGTCTCTGCTTCTCAGGCTACCTTTGTAGCCTGAGATTGTCCACCCTGCCCACATCTTTCTAAAGATCTTGCAAATTATTATTTGGCTAAATCAGAATCCACCCACTTGAATGGGTAACATCACCCCAAACTTGGGAAATCTATGCAGACTACTCTGTCCTGGCAATTACTGGCTAAAAGACATTAGATGAGACAGTTCTCACCTCAGTTTATTGCTGCTTTTCTCCCCCTGCCCAGACTAAATTGTCAGCAGCTTGTTTATCAAGATCCCAGGGACTTTCTAATTTGTATGTCTGGGGGGAAAAACCCATGAATAACTAAGTGTGAGACAGACTGTTACACAGGAACAAAACACAACAATCTGAGCCACTGTATTTTAATTTTGTGCAATTATCCACAGCAGCCCAGTACCAAGGGGCAGCAGATCCATGACCAGGATGCTTAGACTGAAAATCTGATCAACATCAAAGTGTTTTGCCCTGCAAACTTTCATTGAGGTCACTTAATGAATGAAGGAGAGCAGCAGAACAGCACCCACAAGGAAAAGCTGATCCTGTTCTACATTCCCTGATACTGGAAGCTGTCATGCACTGGGGTTTCCTTCGCCAGCACTGGTTTCCCCCTAGGATCCCTACATTACAACAGATCATGGATTGAGCTGGAGGAAGCTCTCATCTCCTTTGGTTTGGTGTTTGTGCCACCCTGGTTTTCATTCTCAGCTCCTGCAGCATCAGTTTGGTCTCCCTGTGCAGGACATGGACAATGGCAGCTCCACAGGAAAGGTTTTGTGCTCAGCATGAACAGTACGAACTTCACTCCTCCAACCTTTAACCAAAATCCAATCCTACTCTGAAACAAAGTCCATCTAACCCCACGTTCCAGCTCCCTCTGCTATCTGGGAAAGCAACAGGAATCCTTTCCTGGAGGAATTGATGCCTTGCTGCTGGTTTGCTGCTGGAATTGGGAATCCTTCCCCACACACCCACCCCTCCCTGGCCAGCACAGCCCTGCAGGCCTGGCCTCAAGTGGGGCCCATTTCCCAGAACTCCAGGGTGGCATCTCAGAATGTTTCACACTGGTTTATTAAATGTGCAGAAATCAACCACACGCAAAACCAGCTTTGTTAAAAAATCACACAGCACAAAGGCCTTTCCTGGTTTTGCCCCCCAAAAGCATCCTGCAGGCAGGGGCAGAGGGGACAGTGGCTTTGGGACCACACGTGCACACCCTGGCTCGTGCAGCTGGCAGATAATGGGCTTTGCAGGTCACTGGCTCTTGAGCACTGTTATCTCTGTGTAACATACACCTTGTTGTGTCTTACTGCTTAATTACAGCTGATACACGGGCCATAATATTGCTTATCATTAGCCAGAGGATGACAATTACCATTTAAGATTAAACAGCTTGCTTTCTTCAGCCAAGTCTCCATGTGACACTTCCTTGCCCAAGAAAAGATTTGCACATGCAGAACAAATGCCCAGACTAATTGGGGATGTGCCCCTCACAAGGAGCTGGAATTTTGGACGCACACGTTGCAGGTGAACATCACCAAGAGTCACTGCAGGGTTCAGCAGAACCCTGAAGTTGAGGTGAAAAGAGTGTTTAACAGAATTTCCAAAGTCTCTTGGCTTTATCAGAGCTCTTGTTTCTGAAATGGA